TTGTTTCAACCCAAATTTGGGTCAAATATGGACAAACCCAAATGTTGGGTTAAAAATGTAATTAAAAAGTTGGGTTAAAATTTTTAATTACATTTTTAACCCAACATTTGGGTTTGTCCATATGTGACCCAAATTTGGGTTAAAACAACCCAGCATTGTTTAGAGTGTATGTAATTGTTTTCACAATGTACATATAAGCAATTTTAATAATGCATTTTGAAAATATAGCCTAAGTATTTAAATAAAAATCTAATATATCCAAATAGTTAATTATAAACAGCCATGATTATTTTTTTTATTTTTTTGACAGAAATCTTACCTATGTATGACTGACAAAAATGCATCATTTTAAGTTATTATTTTGTTTAGTTAAAGTTAGTATTAGTTAGATTGTTTTTCTCAAAACAGTGTAATCCAAATAATTGGTCATTTATATCCAGCTCAAGTACACATATTAGGTTGGCACAATTTGTCATGTTTCATTGCGTTATTATCACAAATAAAACTATTGACTCCAAGCACAACTACACAATATGCTTACAAAATCCTTATGCAAGTTTTAAAATATTTAAATGAAGGGTGTCCATTTTATCTTAGGCCGTACATCAATACTGCATGTACGCAAAATATAATTATCACACCTTTCTATAATTATTCATATGTGTAACTTTGTCTTTGTGCCTGAAAACTGAAAGTGATTAAAAACTGATTTTGCTATTGTAATGACTACACACATCTGTAGCAGCACGTTCATGTTTATTGGGTCAAAAGTGTCCCGCTGCAGACCAAAGAAACACTTTTATAATCCTGGTGGCGTCCTGACATTTACGCCATCGCTGCATGTTCTGTTCTGTTCTGTTTGAGCGCCGGCGTGCATAATACACTTCTAATGAGGACTGGACTCTACTAACACACACACACACACACCGCTGGATGGATTTCTGTCCAACTGCTTAAAATTGAATCCTAATGATGCTTTATCATCATATTAATATCATCATCTGCCACTGGCTTTGATTTCCATATACAGGACGTTCAGTCCATTGAACAATGCATATTAGCCATCCATAACTTCTTCAGAAGTAGTAATCAAATAATTTTGATGTAGTGCACTTGGTTACTCGACAACCCTTGATTGAGATTATGAAACGAACAAATTGTGCAAATGTTTCTGGAAAGTCTGTGTGCCAAAATCTCCACTTTCATTATAGGACAGAACGACCGGTCCAAAGTAATCCTGTCCTGGTTCCAGTTTCCATAGCGTTTCCCAAAGCTTTTGCCCAGGCGTTGGACAATAGTTGCAATTTAGTTTGATGTTTGAGTCCCAGTCAAGTAGGCTAAATATATATAAATCACACTATAGAATTATATTTGTTTGTTTTTGACAGGTAGGAAGGATCATGTGAAGACTGAGTAATGATGCTGACAATTATATCACTGGATTGACATTTTACAATGCATTCACATAGAAAACAGTTCTTTAAATTGCAATAATATTTCTGTTTTACTGTATTTTTGATCAAATAAAAGCAGCCTTGGTGAGCAGATGAGACTTTCAAAAACATTTAAAAAAAATCATAATTATTACAAATTTTGACTGGTAGTGCATGTATATATACATTTTTAAACAGTGATGTTACAACAGCCTATAATTTCAGATTGAATTATGTTTGAAATTCACATCTAATTCATGGATTAAGTAAAACTCCTTAAATTATAATAAAGATTAAATTAAATAATAAATCTGGTTGGTTGATGATTAATTTCTTAATAATATTTGATATCTTAGCTTTTACTGTCCAACATAAAATAAATTCACATCAATATCCAGTTGATTATTTAAACTGAGAATGCTTCATGGAATAAATGTTGATGTTCACGATTAATTAAAGAGATTTTGAGGTTTCTTGACATTCATGGTCATGTAAAATGGAAAACGTTTAGGTTAAAATAAAGTTAAGTTTCTGAGCTGATTTACAGCTGGTGGTTTCATTTATTTGGCAAAACACCTCGAACAAATTGCTGTTTTACTCCACGTTCTGCCTCATTTATTCCCATCTTGTGAAATACGAGTCTCTGCATTAGCCGTTGCTATTCGAGAGCATGCAATAGTCAAAAGTTTTATTTTTCCCAATTAGCAGGCTCGGTCACCTGGATTGACCTACAGGATTTGCAAAGCAAAACAAGTGTGTGTTACTATATCTGCCAGTAAAACTGTTTCAGGTCATAAGCACCATCTGGCTTCTCATCGACCTCTCAGAAGTTGTTCATTAGAGCTGCCCGAAACTCTTAATCACTTTATCAGCTGTAATCGCTGGTGCCGTGACCCGGGCTGAACTGGGAATCGCTGAAGAGAGACTCTCTGCTCATTAATTATGTGTTTCAGCAGCTCTAATTCAGATAAGAGCCCAGAATACAGGCACGGACTATGAATATCCATACAGTCAGGAGAGCGATTGCAAACCAAACCTCAGCGTGTGTTTGGAGAGGATCCTGAAAGAAAGAGAGAAAAGCTGGAAACGGGCTGTTGTTTGTACATTATGCATGTTGGAAAGGGAACATAAACTCAGGTTGTGTGAGGACAGGTCGCTTCAATTATTGTGAGAGAGATCCATAAAAGAATATGATGACGAGACTTGATCTGAATTGCTGAATATGCTTGACATCAATTCTTTATAAAATATGCAAACGATTGTAAATATATTTAGCAGTAATTAAACAAGATAACCTATAAAGTTATATTTAACTTTGGGTTTTGTTATGAAATCTACCATATATGCATCAAAAATATACATATTTTATATTATTAAATAAATATAGTATATTTCTGTATTATAACATTAATGGTGACTGCATGATTTTATATATAGTGTGTGTGTGCGTGCCTGCGTGGTGTGCGTGTGCAATTTTAAAAATAACCATATTTAAAATGGTTGAATTGGACTGGATAATAATGAAAAGTGACCTCATTCAATAATGTTAAAAAAGCATCCCATGAGCGAAACTGTGATGCAATAATTTAAGGTAAAGACTGTTTTGTCTCACCCACTGAAATATCAAAGCAATGATACTGTTATATTTTAATTATCTAATACAGAATACTTTAGACTTCAAGTAGGGTTAATGTTTTAATTGTAATTGTAACACTCTGACACTTATTTTAAAGTGCCCCTGTTATGCTGTTTTCGGAAATAGCCTTTCATGTAGTGTAATATAACTGGTTGTGAATGTAAAAGGTCTGCAAAGTTTCAAAGATCAAAGATAAATGGAGTTATTGTCTCCTAAAAGAAAGAAGTGATTCTGAACCGCCTGAAACGAGTCGTCAGTAATTCAGTCTCACTTCCAGCCGAACCTGCGTGTGTTTGTAACACATTTGCATAATTACAGTATCTGGTGTTGATTGGCTGAGCAGCGTCTCTTAGCTCCGCCCTCAAACACTGTAGTGTATCTGAGACTGGGAGAGTTCGGTTCGTGTTGTTCGTGTCGAGAAGACGCTGTTTTCTGCTGACAAAGCAAATCCACTTTGATGAGATCGATACGGTAAAACCCACGCCATCGTTACTGTTCGTATCACTGTGTGTCAAGAGCTGAGATTCACATATGATAATGAGCGTTTGGTTTCCGACACACACTGTAAGTGGTCGATTATTAATGGCCGTCTGACCAATTAGAGCAAAGTGACCAATCAGAGCAAAGCCAATCACAGCAGACTGGGCCGTCTGACCAATCAGAGCAAAGTGACCAATCAGAGCAAAGCCAATCACAGCAGACTGGGCCGTCTGACCAATCAGAGCAAAGTGACCAATCAGAGCAAAGCTAATCACAGCAGACTGGGCCGTCTGACCAATCAGAGCAAAGTGACCAATCAGAGCAAAGTAACCAATCAGAGCAAAGCCAATCACAGCAGACTGGGCCGTCTGACCAATCAGAGCAAAGCCAATCACAGCAGACTGGGCCGTCTGACCAATCAGAGCAAAGTCAATCACAGCAGACTGGGCCGTCTGACCAATCAGAGCAAAGCCAATCACAGCAGACTGGACCCTCTGACCAATCAGAGCAAAGTGACCAATCAGAGCAAAGCCAATCACAGCAGACTGGGCCGTCTGACCAATCAGAGCAAAGTGACCAATCAGAGCAAAGTCAATCACAGCAGACTGGACCCTCTGACCAATCAGAGCAAAGTGACCAATCAGAGCAAAGCCAATCACAGCAGACTGGGCCGTCTGACCAATCAGAGCAAAGCCAATCACAGCAGACTGGGCCGTCTGACCAATCAGAGCAAAGCCAATCACAGCAGACTGGGCCGTCTGACCAATCAGAGCAAAGCCAATCACAGCAGACTGGGCCGTCTGACCAATCAGAGCAAAGCCAATCACAGCAGACTGGGCCGTCTGACCAATCAGAGCAAAGCCAATCACAGCAGACTGGGCCGTCTGACCAATCAGAGCAAAGCCAATCACAGCAGACTGGACCGTCTGACAATTAGACATTTTTATGCAGATAAAGTTTAAACTGATGTATTTAAAAATGCACCACCTGAATACACTTTAGAACTTTTCTCTTTGTGCCGTCTGACCAATCAGAGCAGAGCAGCTCTCAGAGGGGCGGGGCTTAGAGAGACTGAATCCTTGATTGACCCGTTTCAGACACTGAGAGAAAAGAGCTGATGCTGCAATGTGTATTATGAGAAAATTAAAGTGTTTTTTGACCTCGGATGCATGTAAACCTGTTGTAGGAGACTCTAAAACAACATTATGAGTCTTTATAATAGCATCATAGGGCTTTCTTTTAATATTATATTCGGTTCTAGTCTTTCTCACTATAATGGGACATTTATTAGTTGTAAACGTTTCTTTCACCATTAGATGACAGCTAGATTTGTGGTGGTCTCAGATATTATATTTGCCCTCAAATCTCCCTTGATAATAAAGAATGGGTCTCAGAACCTCATTAAAGCAGGTGTGTGTGTGTGTGTGTGTGTGTGTGTGTTGATGTTTCAGGTTGCCAGATGGGAGCACAGGACCCGAGGCCTGACCCGGCTCTTCGGTGGCCCGTATGTGGCCTGTTATTCCCTTGCTCTTCTCATCCTCCTCCTCAATGTGTACCGTAGCCACAGGTAACAACATCCACATGTGTGTTATTTGATCATTTCTCGTCACGGCTCAACTCTGTATCGCCATCAATAATGTTGTAAATTGATCAAGTGACCCATTTTGCACCATTTTACATAAGACCAAAAGATTCACTGTTTACTTTGCAGCCTTTTATTGATTCCATCAATAATAATAATACTGTGACATCTGTCTGACGTGGTCATGTGACCACCAGCACATTCACTGCTTATTTCATTCGGTTGGGTCTCTGGAGTATCTCACCGTTGCCATGGCAGCATTCGTTTCTGGTGTGTGTGTGTGTGTGTGTGTGTTAGACAAGCTGGTGCTATTTTCTACCCCGTTCTGAGAGTGTTGCACAGACACTGAATATACTTCAATCCTGTTACGCTGGACACTTTGAGCTTGCTAACTTTTCCAAAAGTGATATGCCTTTTGTTATCATGCAAAATATCAGTATTTCTATAAACGGGTATTTCAGAAGTATGATCTAACTCGTGCACATAACTTTGAAAGGTGAAGAACAACCATCATGCCTTCCTTGTCAAACTCCAATGACTGTTGAACACACTTTACCGGACTGCACTGTTTTTAATGTAAATAGACACATTTTTATGCAGAGAATGTGTATTTAAAAATGCACCACCTGAATGCACTTTAGAATTTTTTTCTTGTATTATCCTTAATTTTCTTATATAGCTATTTGTTAATTGCATGATGTTCCCATTTGACCCAAATTATAGCAAACGAAAAAAAATCTATTGTAGCATTTCTTTGAAAAAGAGGGGAAAAAAATTGATAGCTTTGGTCAGAAGAGATAAAAAAAATAGAGCTGCTTTTAATTATTACAAATACTTAAGACATTATTCATCATTTAATTTTTTTTTTTTAAATTTGGGATTTTTTTTTCCGATTTCATAGGGCCCTACAATTTTTGTTTTTGTTAAACTTTTATTAAATTGTTGTTAAATTGTATATGTTTCATGATCTCAATTAATTAGACATGCTTTTTAATGACTAAATTTGAATTTATTCATTAAAATGGAATTATAAACATTATAATGAATAAAACACAAAAAGGAATTCAGAAAATTTTAAATCCAGAAGAAAAAAAATGGAATGGAATATAAGCGGGGAAAAAAGGGCCATCAGGAATTTTTTACCAAGTCTGTGGAAATTTCCAGTTCTTGTTAAGAAGTGCTGCTATTTCCTCGTTTCCATGCGTACGACCCGCCTGGCAGCAAACCAGGCTTGTGTTACTGTGACTGTATGGTTATTATTTCCATGCCAATGGAAAAATGTCCATCTGCATCTGTGTATTCACTGTTCCACGTGAGGGTCTCGTACTGAGACAGGAAGAAAAGAAAGAGAGAAATAGCTAATGTGCTTTAAGGATCTGAAGTCAAGCCTGACGTACTAGTTCAAAAAGAAAGTAAAGTCTAGTCTTTTAATCTGAGCCAAGAGTCCTGCTTTCAACCAAGAACAGAATGACGAACAATCTGATTTACATGTGACTGACCAGAGTGCTTTCCACACACAGCGCTCGGCCGATATAATGTGTGGTCGCACTTTACTTGAAGCCTTTATGTATAATGCATTATAAAAATCATAGAGCGGCATGAAAATGCCAAGTGGTTCGTACCTTTGGAAAAACACTAGCCACAGTGGATGGTGTGCAAATCAAGCCCTGATTATAATTATTCATACAATGCATTATGAGGTCCAATTCAAGACATAATTAATGCATTACAAATATTTTAATAATGCTTTATATATAAATGTTTCAAGTAAATGTGCAACCTGTTGAAAATCGCATCTATTTATTGAAAGAAGATTTACTGTATCAGCTAGACGACCTTCAGATGAGGAATTATGCACAAGCACGTCTTTTAATTTGTATGCATCTGTCTATAGGGAGAGAATGAACACATTTCTAATCCCCCAAACAGACACATCTAAAGCTATTAGCATGTGGATTAACATCTATTATATTCAGCCACATTACATTTTTAATTAGATTTACATTAGTGATTACTCTGAATGCATTTATTATTGTGTATGTGATTGCACTGTGATTGCACACAAATCCTAAAAGAATTGATGCATTGAAAGGCTGTGGATGAAAGCTATTCATATCATCTGAAGATTCACGACGCCGTCGGCGATTAAACAAACCATGTATTTCCTTGGAGGAATAAGTGGATGAGGAAATAATGATATAATTGGTTATGATTGGTTTGTACGATAAATCACGCCTCCTGATTTCATGCTTGTTCGTGAATCGGTCTGAATGAACAAAATAATTAATGGGAAGACTGATTCATTAAGAAGTAAACAACTCAGACACTTAAATATCAAAATCAAACTGGAACCTGTGGGGTGAAACTAAAGGTACGTCTTGGTGATCCAAAATATATTTATTTATTTGTTTTGGATCAGTATTGTTTCAATTATTACTGCCTTTAGTTATTATTTTGGAATATGTCAAATTTACTTGGAATAAATGTAAAAATGCTTAAAACACTAACTTGATGAGATTTTTACTTGGTTTTAATAAATAGAACATTAATTAAATTGTTAATGTAAAGATACAAAATAGATTTTTTTTGTTGATGTAATGAACAGAAATGTTTTTTAAGCAGGAAAATGTGACAACATAAATTTACATCTGATTTATAAAAAAATAAAATGCCTTTCACAAATAGAATTTCATGTTGAAAGCACAAATAACTTTCCCTATGAGGTTATTATTGATTTGTCTCATGATAATACTAGACTGTTTTACGTGCAGTTTGTTCTGCCAAAATACAATTTCAGCACCTAATTAAACATGGATCTCAGTGCATTTATTTCATTTAGGGAATTAAGGGCATTTATCACTTCATTTCTCTAATTGTGGACCCATCACCATGTTCTCACTCAATGTTAAACTCATTTGTTCTGTTCTAGACTGTAAAAAAGCGATAAGCCATGAGAAAACATGTAGTTTTCAATAGCTGAGGTTGTTAGGCACGAAATGCAAAGAATCGCCTGTACGGCTACAATTGCGTATTTCTTTTATAAAACACTAGCAACAGCAAATATGACAAAAGTATTTCAAAAGCTATAATCAAAATATTGGTAGACATTTTGAAATACTATTCCTTTTGTCATATTTGCTAGTGTATAAATGCATTATGCAAAGAATCGCCTGTATAGTGTAGCAATTGCATAATGCTTTATAAAACACTAGAAACAGCAAATATGACAAAAGGAATAGTATTTCAAAATGTCTACCAATATTTTTGACTATAGCTTTGCAGCAGCAAGTTTATTATGACTATAGGCAGTGGTTTCGTTTTAAAAGGGTCATGACTGGATTAGTCTATTCTTTTAATATGTTCCTTGTAATGTTAATACATTTTTTTGCACACACACACTTCTGAACATCCATTCTGAAATGATCAATTATTAGGCTTGTCAGTAAACAGCCATATGATTGGCTAACGTCATTGCATAGGACACCGTATCAACGCTCACTCACTGTTTGAAAACATTACAGTATCGATATAAAACCTGAGAAAGCATTATGAAATAATTTACTGATGTTTTGTCTGTCAGATCCAATACACTCGCGGCTTCATCTGTCAACTAGAGTTTCTCTGCAAACTCTCCATTAGACACTGCCTCGTTTACAAAACTAAATGCTATTAAAATGAACCATCCCATTGTTTCCAACGCTGATCTTCTGAAGTCTGTGCAGAGACGCAAACCCGGGCCCGTTTTCATAAACAATCTTAATGCAAAGAGTCGCTCCTAGTGACAAAATTCTAAGAAAATTCTTTAAAATTTGGGCGTTTACTCTTAAAATTAAAAGAAAAAATCCTAGTAAAGAAAAAAGTAATTCAGAAAGCATCTTACCCCTTAAAAGAGGTCTTAAGGTCAAAGTTGTTAGGAGTACGGACGAGGACTTTTAAGAGGCTTAAGAGTTTCTTCAGCAGAGGAGAGATGGCAGAAAGATGAAGAGGGAGAAGAAATGTGTTGCAATGGATGACAGTGAGTTAATGAGACGCTATAGATCGACACCCGGCCCGAATGTTTCTTTAAGGATGGCCTTGTGTTCGTCCACTAACTGGGCTCACAGTAAACACTGTTCCTCTGTCCAGTCTGGCTTTCTCATCCATCTTGGTTTTGATTCCATGTTTATTACATTAAAACCAACATTCAAACCACCACTTAAATAGACAGCAATCAGTGTAATTGGAAAGAGTGGAACAAGGTTTATCATTCTAAGCCAATCAAATACCTTATAGGAAATTAACAGCATGGTAAATAAAAAAAAGGATTTATATACACATATATAATCTGTGTGTGTGTGTGTGAGAACGGTGAAATAGGAAAAATTTCAAAGTAAAGGCTTACTTAGAATAGACCCTATACTTAAAATGACTCTTTTTTTCCTTCTTGGACAACCAACCAATCACAGTCTTCAAAAGATTGTGTCACACATAGCAACGGGGTCAGCCCCGCCTCCTCACTAAGATGAACGTTTGTGTCTTTTCCTTACTCAGAGTTGCTCTCAGATCGGTCCCGAATCACTCTTAAGCGAAGACTCCTACGTAAAAGTTTTTAAGTTATTAGTTAAAAACTAATATATAGACTCATTACATGCAAAGTGAGATATTTCAAGCCTTTATTTGTTATAATTGTGATGATTATGGCTTAAAGCTTTTGAAAACCCCAAATTCAAAATCAGAATATTGTGAAAAGTTTTTCATATCTGTAAACCATAATCATCACAATTATAACAAATAAAGGCTTGAAATATCTCACTTTGCATGTAATGAGTCTATATAATATATTAGTTTTAGCTTTTAAGTTGAATTACTGGAATAAATGAACTTTTCCACGATATTCAAAACATTTTTTATTCTAGTTTCACCTGTATAATCCTTTCACACATGAGCTTTCCTTCACCGTACAAGAGAGTAATTTCCGATGGTGAAGCTGTGCCATGTCTCTCCAT